GGCCATTCCTGCTCCTCGGGATCCTTCCATGTTTTTATTATAACAAAAACAGGTTTTTGAAAGGGCTACTCCGAAATCACCCTTTTTCTATCGTTTAAAAAAAAATTTCCTACATCTTAATGGTACATTCCTAATGACACTCTTAATCTACACCTTAACCCTTTCGGGGCCCAGGGCCAAATTTCAAAGTGCACCCCGGGGCCCCAAAAATTTTTAAAAAATTTTTTTTTTTCTTATGAAATGGAGAGAATCTTCTTCTAAGGGTAATAAAAAAAAAAGTACGAAATTTGAGGAAAATTAAAAAATTATGCTCTCAACGAATTTTGCTGTCAGCGATATTTACGAATGGGCGATTTGGCCGACTTTGCCCCCTTTTTTAGGCCAATTACATTATTCCAGTCGACCAAATTCTTACTAAATTTTACAGTATTCTTCTTTTTTATCGATTGAGCACAAGAAAACCCAATCAACTGTTCCAACTACAAAAAAAAGTATCGGAAATGGGAATTTGGCCAATTTAACACAAAGTTCAAAATTTCCAATTCAAAATAGGGGCCAGAATAAAAAATTTTAGGTTTCCGGGCACTAAACAACATTTCCCTGTTCATTTTGTTGCTTTTGAGCTTTCAAATGAATTCCATTTTGATTTTTTATTCACATAAAGAAATTTTTTTTCAAAAACCAAAAAATAGAAGATTTTCTGTTATGCAATATTTTAATAATTGTATAAATATCATCACTACATTTGTGAATGTATATTTCCCCCCCAGTATTGTATTAACTGGGAGGTCCTTTGTTTACTCTTGAACATCGGGAAAAAATTTTAAAATTTCCCCTACTTTGACTCAGTTTCAATCCTTTTCATGCTAAAACCAATCAAAATATCTCTATTTCTGAAATGTCTTCCATTCATCAACGAGACCCAAAAAATCGCAAAACAACATAAAAAAACATACGAAAAAAAACTGCAAAAACGCGTTTTAATCGAAAATCACGGTGCGCGGATTTTGTTTTATGTGGGCACACATACCACATAGAGTATTCTCTCTTACTAAGCCCAAATTTTTTTCCACTCACAGCTTACAAGTGAGCTGGCTATGGCTAGATCTACGGTTTTTTAACCCTGAACGTAAAGCCGTAGATCTCAGACGGGCCCGAAAGGGTTTTAAAGCACACCTAATTTCTGTTTATTTTTGATTTTCCCGCTTTAATTCCATAGAAATCATCCTCTTTTTCTTCTCAGCACTCTCCTTTGCACTTGCTTTCTTAGGACCTATGTTTAGAAAGACGAAATTTAGCAAACTAAGTGCACGAAATGTAAGGAAAACACGAGATTTCCTTCCGTCCCTGAGCGGCCATGTTTTGATGAACACTGCCATCTTGTGATGGCGAGCTGAAACTCACTTATAGTATTATTATTACTATTATTATTATAACTATGTATTATTTATTAGTGTGTATGTCTTCTTTTAATAATTAATATTATATTATGTATATTATTATGTAAACAATTATTATATTATACATACGTATTATTATTAGTACGTACATATTCTTATAATAATACTCTTGCTTACCATTTGGAATTTTTATTCAGACAAAAAATAGAAGATTTACTGTTATGCAAACTACTGCATTATTGTAATAATTGTACAAATAATGTCAACCCATTCATGAATCCATATTGGAATGGCCACTCGGTGACATCATTTGTTTACTCGTGAACATCGGCAAAAATCAAACATTTCTGCTACTTTGAGCTCAATTTCAAGGTACTTTTTGTTGTGAAAGCAATCAAAATCATATCTATTTCTGTAATATATCTTCCATTCTACCAACTGAAACCAAAAAAAACGAGAATACAACCATAAAAACCATACGAAAATATACCGCTAAGGTCCGGCTAATAGATTAGAAGTGAACTTTGTTATTAACGTTAGTCAGATTTCTTTCAATTTTGGTGCACGTTAAGAAACATCTTTCCATCATACATTGCCCAAGTTTCAATAAGATGATCCAATTCCCTAGATCAAGAGCAAGAGCCCCTCACCAGCATCAAGGAACCTCCCTTGAGGCCCACTCGCATCTGGAAATTTCGCTCGCCTATGGAAGCAAAAAATTGACTGATCAACTGCTCGTTTCTGGAAAAACTCGCACATGGATGCACTCATTAGTAGAGGTTCCACTGTATACAAAATAGTGTGTGTTCTACAAAGACATCAAAACTTGCTATAATCCAAACAATAACAAGATAACCCAGTCAAGCAAAAAAAAACTTTCATTCTACGTACCTAGGAGCAGAACTGCTGAAACAAATGCCAAAACTGATTAGAGGTTTTCAAAAAACATGCAGTGCTTCAAATAATGGTCTCAAATCATATTAACCCTTAAATGGTCCAAACGTATATATACGTTTTTTCAACATCTGAAAGTATGTAAAAAAATGTAGATCTTTTTTTGTTTTACATTTGAAAACGTGTAAAAAAAACTTTTATCTACATTTTATTTTTTGTTACATATGAAAATATGTTAAAAAAAGTAGATCTACTTTTGTAGCACTACGAATTTAAACGTCAATTTGTTTGGACCATTTAAGGGTTAAAATAAATTATTTCAGATAACAGAAGCAGAGGAGAAAAGGCAAAAGTTAAAAAAAAAAAAGTTTGGTTTTTGCTATAATTAAGTATATTGTAACAAAACTTATTTTCCAGACAAACAAAATATCTGACAATGCCAAGTAAATTTTAAATAAATTCCAATTTTATCAGTACTCTATAGGTCATAATTTACTTTTTCTTAAGTGACACAATAAGTGCTGTATATTAAAACAATTATACCAATATCTATTGTTTGCTGACAAATTAGAACTAGAAGAAATTATCAATTATAATCATGGGTAGTGCTAATTTAAAGCATAGGGGGGGGGGGTCATAAAGTGCCTTTATTTTTGTAGGAGAAGTGTGTGCTAGTATTCAATGTGTTAATATTTATCTGTAGATTTAGAAAGTTTTTTTGTTAATGTACAGCAATATTTTATCCATTTATCTGTTATTCTTCTTATTCTTTTTAGTAATTATTACAGGAAAAGGGGTTAATAGCCCATTGTTCCCGGCATTTTGGTTGACTTTTACAACACGCATGGCTTACGGAGGAAAGATTCTTATCCCACTTCCCCATGGATATAAAAGGAGAAGTAATTAGAACAAGAACTAAGATAAAATCAAAGAAAACTCAGATGAGTGTGTATAAATAAATGTGTACATGTATGTTTAGTGTGACCTAAGTGTAAGTAGAAGTAGCAAGACATACCTGTAATCTTGCATATTTATGAGACAGACAAAAGACACCAGCAAGCCTACCATCATGTAAAACAATTACAGGCTTTCATTTTACACTCACTTGGCAGAATGGTAGTACACACCTCCCAGGGTGGTTGCTGTCTACCAACCTATTGCCTACAGGGAAAGGAAAGCGGGGTAGGGGTCGTCCTCGAAAGGTTGGAGGGAGGGGGTAAAGGAGGTGTTGTGAGCGAGGGGTTTGGACTTCCAGCAAGCGTGCGTGAGCGTGTTAGATAGGAGTGAATGGAGACAAATGGTATTTGGGACCTGACGAGCTGTTGGAGAGCAGGATAATATTTAGTGAAGGGATCAGGGAAACCCGGTTATATAATATTTAACTGGACTGAGTCCTGAAATGGAAGTAACAATGCCTGCACTCTAAAGGAGTGTTTGGATATTGCAGTTTGTGAGGGATATGTTGTGTATCTTTATAATGTATATGCTCGTCTAAGACTTTGTGTTCTGGGTACCGTTCTGCAAAACAGTGATTATGTATGAGTGAGGTGAAAGTATTGTTGAATGATGATGAGAGTATTTTCTTTTTGGGTCACCCTGCCTCGGTGGGAGACGGCCAACTTGTAAAAAAAAAAAAAAAAAAATCAAGGAAACTGGTTATTATAGATTTAGCTAGACTTGAGTCCTGGAAATTAGAAGTACAATGCCTGCATTTTAATGGATGGGTCTGGGATATTGAGTCTGGAGGGACCTCTAAACTGTCGTATCTGAGTGCCTCTGCAAAGACAGTGATTATGTATGAGTGAGGTGAAAGTGTTGAATGATGAAAGTATTTTCTTTTTGGGTCACCCTGTTCTAGGAGATCCAGTTGGTATATCCCATCTACAAGTCTATGTAACATATTGAAAAGATGGCACTAAATTTACTGCCCAAGAATGCCCTGGAGGGATGCACTCCAACCTCATTTCTCATGACACTGATAGACCATGAAAAGGATAGACATATTAAATCCCTCATGAGTATGTTGGACAACCAAGGTATATCCATAAAATATCTAACTATTGGCAGGTCATTGTAATAAATATAATAATCATATAGTCAAGGTATATTCTGTGCCCTGGGTTCTGTATCTTAATCCTTTTACCTAATTGAATATCTACTATAAAGGAATTAATATTGTTTTAGTGGGATCATGAAAATCTTTACATATTTCCTTGTTTTTATTTGAAAAAGTCCAATATTTTATATCTATGTATTTTAACTTAGGTACAAAATAGGTGAAGAGTACAAGTTACATTCAAGTGACTGAAACAATTCACACAATTTATTTGTACAAAGAGTTAAGATGACATTTTAGTCCATGCTGGACCATTGTCCAGCATGGACTAAAATGACATCTTGACTTTCTTTTGTAAGTGTAGATTTTTGAGTGAATATGAAATAAGTTGCTAATGGGCTTTTAATTTAACCTTTCCTAGTAAATTGTGTTTATTATAATCTACCCCTTTGGGACCCCATTCATAAGAATGGAACATAAATTGGGAGTTACTAAGTCAGAAATCCCCTGTATATTGTCTCAATTCATTACCAAAACACAGACAACTATAATAAATCTTTTAAGAATTTTTTAACTGTAAAAATTCAAATGTACAAACCTTCATTCTTAACAAGCATCGCACTAATTAATAAACTTAAATAAATACTCACGTGCAAGGATTTAGGTTCTGGATGAGCATGACAACTGCACCATTGGAAATCTTATCTGTAAAGCTCATGGCACCATATACAAAAGCCCCAGACTCCACGTTGGGCCCAATAAGATCTGCAGTAAATGAAAGTGATGTAACAAGCATGATGGAGCCTCCAGCTCCAAGCAGAGCTGCCACTCCATACAACAGGTACTGTTTGTACAAGTCTCCTCTTCCAAACCACACTGCTATGCAGGCTCCCCCTCCTATAATGCATCCCAAGATGAATGATGCCTGTAAACAAATGAAATTATTTTCATTTAGATTTGTGAAATCCATATGACACATTTTCATTACATCACATTCTTTCTTTCTTTCTTTCAATGCACCCCGGCCAGTTATCCCACCGAGGCAGGGTGGCCCAAAAAGAAAAACAGAAAGTTTCTCTTTTTAAATCTAGTAAGTTTAACATGAGAAGGGGGTTACAAGCCCCCGCGACGTCTCGCCTTTCAGTCACATTCTACAACACATATACTTACAGAGGAAGAATTCTGATCAACTCCACCCCATGGAGATAACAGAAATAACAAGAACAAGAAACTAGTAAGAAAATAGAAGAAAAACCCAGAGGAGTGTGTGTGTGTGTATTATGTGTGTGTTTGTGTGTGTGTGTGTGTGTTTATATATATTATAGTATATATATATATATATATATATAAATATATATATCTATCTATATATATATATATTTTTTTGTTTTTTTTCAACCAGTCGGCCGTCATCTCCACCGAGGCAAGGGTGACCCAAAAAAGAAAGAAAATCCCCAAAAAGAAGATACTTTCATCATCACTCAAACACTTTCACCATACACTTGCAACATTAACACTGTTTTTTTGCAGAAGGTGCTAGAATACAACCAGTCTAGAAGCATACACATATAAAGATACACAACATATCCCTCCAAACTGCCAATATCCCAAACCCCTTCTTTAAAGTGCAGGCATTGGTACTTTCCCATTTCCAGGACTCAAGTCCGACTATATGAAAATAACGCCGGTTTCCCTGAATCTCTTCACTCAATATACCCTGCTCACACTCCCAAACACATCGTCAGGGTCCCAAGTACCATCGTCTCCATTTCACTCCTATCTAACACCTCACGCACGCCTGCCTGGAAGTCCAGCCCCTTGCCCACAAAACATCCTTTACCCCCTCTCTCCAACCCTTTCGAGGACGACCCCTACCCGCCTTCCTTCCCCTATAATTTAGATGCTTTCCATGTCAATTCTACTTGATCCATTCTCTCTAAATGACCAAACCACCGCAACAAACCCCTCTTCTCGCCTCTGACTAATACTTTTATTATCTCCACACCTCTCCTAATTTCCACACTCCAAATTTTCTTCTGCATAATATTTACACACTACATTGACCTTAAACAGGAGAATCTCCACTGCCTCCAACCGTCTCCTCGCTGCCTGCATTAAACCACCCAAGCTTCACACCCAATATAAAGAGGTGTTTGGTACTACTATACTTTCATACATTCCCTTCTTGGCCTCCATAGATAACGTTTTCTTGACGTCCACATATACTCAACGCACCACTCACCTTTTTTCCCTCATCAATTTCTATGAATAACCTCATCCTTCATAAATCCATCCGCCGACACGTCAACCTCCCAAGTATCTGAAAACATTCACTTCTTCCTTACTCCCTCCTCCCCCCAATTTGATATCCAATTTTTCTTTATCTAAAATCATTACAGACCCTCATCACCTTACTCTTTTCTATGTTCACTTCTTCAACTTTCTACTTTACACACATTGTCCCAAACTCATCCACTATCCTTTGGCAATTTTTCTTTAAATCTCCCATAAGCACAGTATCATCAGCAAAAAAGTACTGGTGTCAAATGCCATTTTGAATTTGATTCCGCCAAAATTTAATCCACCCCCCTCTCGTCCCGAACACCCTAGGCATTTACTCGCTTTACAGACCCCAACTATAAATATATTAAACAACCATTGGTGACATTACACTCCCGTCTAAGACCTACGTTTAACCGGGAAGTAGTCTACCCTTTCTCTACACACCGCTAACCTGAGCCTGCACTATCCTCATATAAACTCTTTACAGCATTTAATAACTTACCACCTATTCCATATACTTGCAACATCTGCCACATTGCTCCTCTATCCACTCCTAATCATAAGCCTTTTCTAAATCCTTAATGCAATAAAAATTTCCCTACCTTTATCTAAATACTGTTCACATATATGCTTCAATGTAAACAATTTTGATCTACACATCCCCTATACCCACTACTGAAACGCTCCTTCTCATCGCAATCCAACATCTGTCTTACCCTAATCTTTTCAATTATATCCCTAAACCGTAAACACTTTTCTGGTATACTCAGTTAGCTTATTTCCTCAATAATTTTTAGTCTCTTTTGTCCCCTTTCCCTTATATAAAGGGACTACATACATGCTCTCCTCCGCCAATCCCTAGGTACCTTCCCCCTCTTTCAGTACATTTATAAACAAAAGTACCAAACCACTGTTCCAACACATATATCCCCCCCTGCTTTTAACTTTTCTCTGTCATGATCCCACAGTTCCAGCTGCTTTTAACCTCCCCTTTCATTTTACGTAATGCCTCACGTACCCCCCCACACTTACATTGCTGCTCTCTTCACCTCCTAAAAATGTATACACCTCCCTGAACCAGTTCATGAAATTACTGCCTCTGTTTTCTTCCTTAACATTTAAAAGTTCCTCAAGAATATTCCTTCGCCATCTACCCAATACATCCATCCTCCACCATCTACTAACTGTCCTACTCTGTTTTTAACTGACAAACTCCGTATTTTCCCTAGGCGTTCTTAACTTGTTTAACTCACTCCCAAAATTTTTTCTTATTTTCATTAAAATATTCTTGACAGTGCGCTCTCCCCACTCTATCATCCGGCTCTCCTTTGCACTCGTCTCAACCACTCTCTTTAACCTTTCTTTTACTCTCCATATACTCTGTCTCTTCTTAATAACACTTCTGCTTTGACGTAAAACCTCCTCATAAGCTACCTTTTTCTCCTTTATCACACCCTTTACTTCACATTCCACCATCAAAGTCCTCTTTCCTCCATGTCACCCACCCCCTAAAAACCACAAACTTCTGCCCCACATTCGAATACTGGCATTTTAAAACTATTCCAACCCCTTTTCACCCCCCCTCCACTGACTCATCTTTGCACTAGCCCACCTTTCTGCCAATAGTCGCTTATTATCGTCACCGAACTTCCTCCTCCTTATTTATACACGTTTCACCTCCCTCTTACTTGTTGTTGCCACACCTTCCTCTTTTTCCCATCTACCTCTTCCTCTAACTGTAGCTACAACTAAATAATGATCCCTATATACAGTTGCCCTTCGATAAACATGTAAACATCCTGGAGCCTACCCCATGCAACCTTTGTTATCCACCAATACATATCTAATAAAAAACTACTTTCATTACGAGCTACCGTCATACCTTGGTATATTTATTTATCCGTCTTTTTCATAAAATATGTAATTACTTATTACTAAATTTCTTTCTCTACAACATACTCAATTAAAGGTCTCCCCATTTAACATTACCCCTGCACCCCAAATTTACCTACTACTCCCTCCATAACATTTTTACCTCACTTAGCATTGAAATCCCCAATCCACCATTACTCTCACATCTTGGATTCAAAACGTCCCAACGCATCACTCAACATTTCCCCAAAATCTCTCTCTATCTCCTCTAACCTTTGTTTGTTTCCAACAGTCAGTCGTGTCCCACCGAAATGTTGAGTGCCATGCATGTGGAGTTTTGAATCAAGTGTAAAATAATGTGGTTGGGATTTCAATCTAAAGTGGGTAAAAATGTTATGGAGGGAGTAGTAGTAAATTTGAGGTGTGCCAGGGGTAAAATGTAAATGGGGAGCCTTTAATTGATCTATGTGTAGAAAGAAATTTGGTAATAAGTAATACATATTTTATAAAAAGAGATAAATAAATATACAAGGTATGATACATGTAATAAAGTAGTTATAGAGATTATGTATTGGTGGATAAAAGGTTGATGGGTAGTTCTCCAGATTACATGTTATAGAGAGGCAACTGATATATTGATCATTATTTAGTTGTAGCTACAGATTAGAGTATGAGTTAATGGGAAAAGAGGAAGGTGGCAACAAGAAAAAGGAGGTGAAAGTGTATAAACTAAGGAGGAGGAAGTTCGTGTGAATATAAGGCGAACTATTGTCAAAAAGGGTGGCAAGTGCAAAGATGATAGCGGGGTGGTTGAAGATGGTTGGAATGGTTTATAAAATGCAGTTAAGAATGTGGGGCAGAAGTTTGTGGTTATAGAGTTGGTGGCAGGAGGAAAAGAGGAGTGAATTGGTGAATGATGAAGTAAGTGTGTTATAAAAGAGAAAAAGGTACTTATGAAGGTTTTTACAAAGCAGAAGTGTTATAAGAAGAGCAGAGTATATGAGAGTAAAAGAAAGGAAAAGAGAGTGGTGAGAGAGTGCAAAAGGAGAGCAGAATGATAGAGTTGACAGGCACTGCTCAAGAAATTTAATGAAATAAGAAAATTTTTGGAGTTGAGTTAAACAAGTTAAGAAAGCCTAGGGAAAGTATGGGATTTGTCAGTTAAAAACAGAGTAGGGGAATTTAGTAGATGGGGACATGGAGTATAGGAAGATGGCGAAATATTTTGAGTAACTTTTAAATGTTAAGAAAGAGAAGGCAGTAATTTTATGGCACTGGTCAGGAGGTTATACCATCTTTTATGAGTGAAGAATGAGCAAATGTAAGTTGTGGGGAGTGTAGCGTGAGCCAATACGTAGAATAGAAAGGGGGTAAAGCAGCTGAACTGATGGGATCATGACAGAAAATGTTAAAAGCAGGGGAGGATATAGGTTTGGAGTGTTTGGTACTTTGTTCAAGTAAATGTAATGGAAGAGGGGAAGTACCTAGGGATTGGCGGAGAGCATTGTTAATAGGTCCGCTTTTATATAAGGGAAAGGGACAAAGAGACGAAAATTATAGAGGAATAAGTTACTGAGTATACCAGGAAAAGTGAACGCAGGGGTTATAATTGAAAGAATTAGAGGTAAGACATGAAAGTAAGGATTGCGGAAAGAGGCAAGGAGGTTTTAGAGTGGGTAGAGGTGATGTGTAGATCAAGTGCGTTTACATTGAAGGCATATATGTGAACGGTGGGAAGTATTTAGATAAAGGTAGGAAGTTTTCATTGCA